ATGTATATAGTAAGAGTCTAGTATCCATAATATATAAAGAACTCTTACAACTCAATAACAAAAGACAAACAATCCAATTAAAAAGTGGGCATAGGGCTCACTCAGATATTTTTCCAAAGAAGATATACAAATGGCCAAGCACAAGAAAAGATGCTCAACATCATTAATCATTAGGGAAACACAAAAACCACAACGAGGTACCACTTCTCATCCACCAGGAGAGCTATAATTTTTAAAACTAGGAAATAAACGTCAGTGAGGATGTAGAGAAATTGGAACCCTCATGCACTGTTGGTGGAGGTTTGGCAGATCCTCAAAAAATTAAATATAGAATTACCACATAACCCAATAGTTCCACTCTTATGTATAGATCCAGAAGAATTGAAAATTAGTACTCAAATAACAGGTACATGCATGTCCATGGCAGTACTATTCACAACAGCAAAAAGGTGGAAACATCCCAAGTATCCATCAACAGATGAATGAATAAACTGTGGTATATGAACCTCATATATTATGGTGTATACATATATGTAGAGATACACCTCAAAAACTTTATACTAAGTGAAAACAACGAGACACAAAAGGTCTGATTTTGGGAGGTAGTGGCTGCACACTATAAATATAATAAATGCCATTGTTCATTTCAGAACGGCTAATTTTATATGATTTCACCTCAATTTTTTTTTAAAGGTAGCAGGCTCCCTAGACCACATGTAATTAGTAGAGGTTGCTGTCTTGCTATAAAGATATTGGAAAGTCTTTCTTTTCCTCATTAGTATATTAACTGGTATAAAATAAGAACACAACTCCATTCTTCAGTAGGCTTTGTGGGGAATATCCAATCCAGTTTTCTGGTTTCTTCTTCTGTTCCTCTGCTTGCCTTTGAATATTTCTCCTTTCGTTCAATACCCACTACTCAAGATAGAGAAGAGTGAATAGTAAATGCATAAGCTACAATCTTGTTAACACCTCTGGCATAAAGAAAGCAATAATTGAAATGTAGATGTTTTTATAAAAAAATCACTAAAAATGGGATTATGGGATTATCAGGGGTCTTAGTTTCATTTATCCATGCAATTTCATTATAGTTTGGAAAAGATAATAAAAGATTGCTATTGGGCTACAAACATTTGTCTCAGAACTCTTGTGACAATTTTAACCAATCTTGTAAAAGTTTGGAATGCTTGGTATTCAGATTTTGCTGTACATTTTTATCCAAGTTCATTAGTTTCCTAGTGTGGCCATAACAAAGTACCTCAAACATAGTGCCTTAAAACATTAATTTCTTCTGAGTTTTAGAGGCTAGACATTTGAAATCAAGGTGTCAGCAGGGCCATGTTCCCTCTGAAGTCTCTAGGGAAGAATCCTTCCTTGCCTCCTTCAGCTCTGGTGGGCCTCAGGCAGGTCTTGACTTGTGGCAGAATAATTCCCATCTATGCCTCCATCTTCACATGACTTGCTCGCTGTCTCTGTGTCTTCTCTTCTTATAAGGACACCTGTCATTGGATTTAGAGCTCACCCTAAATCCAGGATGATCTCATCTCAAGATCCTTACCTAATTCCATCTGCAGACTTTTTCCAAATAAGGTCACATTCTGACATTCTGGGTGAACATGAATTTTGGGAGGACAGTATTCATCCCACTACTCTACGTAAGCAACCTAATTTCTTTTTTTGACACAGTAATGTTTTTTAAAAATGCAAACTCAAATTTGGCTTGGTAAAATTAGAATAATTCTTCTGCAGAAAGCTTTATTAAAAAATAAATCTTGGGGCTTCCCTGGTGGTGCAGTAGTTAAGAATCCGCCTGCCAATGCAGGGGACACGGGTTCCAGCCCTGGTCTGGGAAGATTCCACATGCCGCGGAGCAACTAAGCCCGTGCGCCAAATCTACTGAAGCCAGCGCACCTAGAACCTGTGCTCCACAACAAGAGAAGCCACTGCAATGAGAAGCCCGCGCACTGCAACAAAGAGCAGCCCCCACTCACCACAACTAGAGAAAGCCCGAGCACAGTGATGAAGGCCCAATGCAGCCAAAAATAAATAAATAAACTTAAAAAAAAAAACTTTAACCTTCAAACAAAAATAAATCAAAAACAACAAAAAAATCAAATCCCTAGAATTGAGTCCTCGCTTTACTTACTAAAACTGATGTAAGTAAATAAGAAAAATGCCTTTTGACAGAAACAAAGCATGACAGACTGGTGCTATATTATTTACAATTTATTATTTACAAAAATAACTTCAGCTTTCTCATCATAATGACAATTCAATAAATCCTCTCTTAGAAGTCAGGGGCCTTGACACTTACAATTTTTACTAAGAAAAACTTGCTTTTTAAATCTTTAAGCCATAATTTTTTTTAACGTCTAATAATCAATTTTTTAAAAATTTGGACAATGAAACTATCTTCAAAAATTTACAGTGAAATTTGTTACGTAGTCAAGTATCAACTCCAGGTTGATAAATATTATAATTATTTAATGTTCAGGTAATTTTATTACCAAATTACAAGACAATACTGATAGACCATACATTTTCCAAACTATAAGAACATATCCTACTTTATACAGTTTAACATCCAGGGGAAATTTTTCCTACATTAGTGAAAATTAATTTTATTGTAAATTTTCAGGAATTCTTTCTAATATACCAAGATACAATATGAAAAGGCAGAAGTTATTTTTATTTTTATATAAACCTATGAACCTAATGTAGAAATCTGATGTTACACAATTCCTTTGGCAGAAAACATTTAATTATAAACAGGTCTTAAATACAATCCATAAGATCATGAAAAAGAAAGAAAAATAACCCTGTATTTCTTATTAACACCAAAAATATCATCTCAGTACACAGATTCAATGACGTTTTTATCCTATCAACAACCTGCAACACAAAATTCATTACAGTATGGCAAAAATAATTTTTAATTTAAAAGGGAGAAGAAACTTCTGGATGTATAAAATTTCACTGCTAAATGCCAATATACACTATATACATGTTGCATGTTATGTCATTACAAAACTACATTAGGTGAACTTAAATGGCAGATCCCGATTTAGTGGGTGTGCAGTATTTATTCTACTTCAAAGACTTACACAAAATTAAGCTTTTACAACTCAGATCACAATTATACATGAATTATTTACACAAACATTAAAATAACTTTATTAAATATTGTTTGGGGGAAAAATAAGATTTTCCATATATATGCAAACATTAATTATTATTAAGAGCAGCTTTGTAAACTTTTTTATGTTTTGTTTTCTTTAAAGAATAGAAGATTCATTTCCAAAAAAGTAAGGTGCCATTTTAGAATTTTTTATAAGTATATAATTGAATCCACATAGAAGGAAAATACTGGATAAAAAACAGAACAGAGACATGAAAGGTTAAGTTTCTTTCCAGTTACTCGTACCTGAAATAAGACAATGACAGAAATTGGGCTTTCAAATACTGCTTGTTTTTCCCTTTACATGTAGACCAAGTAGTATACATAAGACTATTTTGTTCTAATATACAGTTTCTTTGAAAAAGGAACATACTTATAATCAAATTTCTGTAACTACATAAATGACAAAAATTTCCAGAGTACTGTCTTCAAATGGATTCTTGGTAGAAAGATTAAGGGTTTTCTTTAAAAAACAATATAGAAATCTTGCTTCCATGCAAGTTAACTTTTTTTTTTTTGGCGGCTTGCGGGATGTTAGTTCCCCGAACCAGGGATCGAACCCGGGCCCCAGCAGTGAAAGAGCCGAGTCCTAACCACTGGACCACCAGAGAATTCCCACAAGTTAACTTTTTAAAAACAAAACTTATGTCCATTGTTTTTCCCCAGTCTAAATACCATGTATCTGTAAGCATATGTATTTGCATGTTGTGTTACCTAAAAAGTTGGGAGATGATGCAGTAGTGTGCAAATTTTTAGGAAAGAAAACAATCCTTATTGGTTTACTGCCTAACTCCTAAAGTATGTGGAATCCATTAGCACTATAAACTCACTTAAAACATAGGCTTCAGGAAAACTGTCTTGATGGCTTCCCTAGAAAGCCATTGCCTGTTATTATTCCACAGACTCAGGATTACTTTTGAAAGGAATGGCCAAAATTTTCAACAGTCTGGCATACCAGTGGTACTCAAATCATCTCTTTAAAAGAACAACACATCAATAAAAACACACATCATCCACACTTGGTATATATATCACATCAAATTATTAGGAATGTCTCATAGCTTTAATTCACATATACTCTGTAAAAAGGAAATGCAGCATCTCTGCACACCACACTACAGGAAAACAAAACAAAACAAACAAAAAAAACTGACCATACCTTCATTAGAGAATGGCCAAAATCACTTGAAAAGGTCATTAGTGGCAATTCTAATGCCAAGGACCTTTGTAGGAAAATAAATGTTTTTTTTCCAGGGAATGGAAATGTTTTGTGGGGTATTCCTCAGCCCAATTGTTGGCATGACTGGGGGACTGGCTAAATGCTTTATCACACAACTGCATTTACATGGTCTTCACTGATAATAACAGAAAACATTTTTGCTCCTCCCAAAGTGCTCTTGCTTCTGTAGACAATTATATGCTAATTATTACTCAACACACCACTGAGAGCAAAACTGACAGTACTGCAAACACAACTACAATTTAAGAAGCCAAAGGAAATATGTAGGGAAGCGTACACAAAAACATGTTTGCCTTTTAAAATAATGATGGGTGGGAAACTCTGAAAAAAAAATATGCAGACAAAAAATACTTAAAAGGTTTCAGTGCTCTCCCAATTACCATATTTTAGGGGTAAATGGTGGTTTCTTTATACGCTCCTATGTCATGTTGTTTAGTGTCATAAGGCTACTTACTGGTTGTCCAGATTTGTGTAGAGAGATTTGAAAGTAAGAAAAAACTAACTGGAAGGAACCTGAAGCTGCCTCTCATCAAAAATTTGACCTCAGACAAGTTGGGACTGAAAAAACCTTTTATGGCCTATTAGAGTAAAATATGTTTCTGAGCTTTATTTATTCATGGGCCTTTTGAGCTGAGAAAAAATTTTTTCCTTCTTTTAATATTTTCAGATTACAATCACAAGGGTCAAGTAGTACACTTAGGAAGGCTTTCAAGAAAATGCTTGGTTTGTTTTTAAAGAAGAGGCTGCTGCTGAGGGTAATCTGTTTGCTGCTGTGCAACTGAATGAGCTGGAGCTGCCACCGCAAAGCCTGCCGACCGCGGCAAACTGGAAGTAGTGCTCTGGTGAGATGACAGATCCACAGACATCCCCATTTGCTGCGTGTAAGCAGCTGCACCAGTAGCTGATTGAAGGTGAGAGTTCTGATTCATGTAAGTAGGATTGGAAACAGTGTCTTGTCCAGCACTACAAAAAAAATTTTTAAAAGAAAACCATATTTACTTTACATTATCTAAGTTACGGTCAGAGATCAATCATCATGAGAAAATAAAAATGTCTTTTCCGTCTCTTTAAGTTTATATACCTCTACTATTCCGATTATGATTTAACTACTCCAGCTATCCAATACTGTTAATGTAATTTTTATATTTGGGAAGAAGAAAGTACTCAAAAAGAAATAAAATATAGGATTATACGGCCTATCTAATTCTGTTTTCTCCAAAATCTCTCACGGAAAACATTTAGAAATCTTTTGAGGATCTGCAGATTGTTTCTGATGCTGGTGTCCTTGGCCAGCTGCAATGAGAACAAAACCCCGGCTCAAGTACACCCTCAGCCCATTTTCTCCCTTCCCTCTTCTCTCGATCAGCACAGAGGAGACCACTATTCCTCACCCACTCTTTATACTTTCCTTTGGTAGGGCACTTTCAAAGCTGCCCCGCATAGCTTAACCTGAATCCCTACATAAAAATAATAAAGGCAGGGAGAACATGTAATCCACATAGGGTCCTGAATCCACCCTCAAAATAGTCCTGACCTATAGTTTACTTATTGACACTATACGAAAACAAAACAAAACCCCCAGAACTCCACTAAGTTGAAAAGTCACACCAAATCGCAGGACTTTCATTTGTTCCTGTAATTACTATAGCATATCTTTTAAAAGATATATAATTTTTAAATGCACCAAATACACTGCTTCAATATAGGAGGATTAATGTCTATACTCGTCCAGTTTTTCTCTCTGTAATTCCTAGTGTCACCCAGGATAAGAAAATTTTTACATTTTAACTTAATCAAACATCAATACCAACAGATTTATTTAATTTCCAGATAATGTCTAAAATTTATACACATGGAATTTAAGAGTGGGAAGAGACCTGACAAATCATTACACATGACTGTACTGAATAAACATTTTGTGTGGTTAAGCAAAGTCAGCAGAAGGCAAGATTTAAACATGTTTTTCAGAATAGAAGTTAGTATGAAAACTTAGACTACAAATTCCACAGCTCAAACACACTTCTTTTTTTTTTTCTTGCGTTATGCGGGCCTCTCACTGTTGTGGCCTCTCCCATTTGCGGAGCTCAGGCTCCGGACGCGCAGGCTCAGTGGCCATGGCTCACGGGCCCAGCCGCTCCGCGGCATGTGGGATCTTCCCGAAACGGGGCACGAACCCGCGTCTCCTGCATCGGCAGGCGGACTCTCAAGCACTGCGCCACCAGGGAAGCCCAAACACACTTCTTTTTAAGAGTCAAAGTAACAAAATTTTCTGATTTTTAGGAGTACATGCTCCTAAAATATGTCTGGGACTACTTGACTAGGCTGATTAGAGCACCGTGCTAAGTATACCCTTACAGGACCCAAGTACAGGCTTGGGTCCTGTAAGGGACAGTTAGCTTTATTTTGTCCTGGGGACCCAGACTATAAGCCAGGTCTAGGCACCATCTCAGTATGGTTAGCAAAGCTAAGACAGCACCATTCCGATTTCATGGGATCTTGAATGGGAAGTTCTATAACTTCATCTCAACAGCAAAAGAGGGCACTATTATTATAAAGAGAAGGGTCTAATTATTCTCATTCTGAAAATCTGTGAAAATTTAATGCATATAATTACAAAATTAACACAGCTCCCAAACACTTACCTTAAATACGGAGTTGGGGCAGGCTGTGTTGGCACTGAGGAATTCACATTTGGAGGCAGCGATCTCAGTGGACCGACTTGATCTGGTCCTAGGCTGTAGCTTTGGGCAACAGTGACTTGGTGAATACTTTGACCCATATAGTTGGCACCATGTGGTTGAACTGGATATGTCTATTAACCAAAGAGAAAAAGTTGACTCACTGATCTCCCAAACAACTACCTAGCAATACATTTAAAACTTTAAAAGGCTTAAATGAAATAAAATGTTATACTTCTTTGGGGAGCAATCTGATTCTACCAATCTAGCCACCCTAGTATAAAAAGCAGAGCGCTTCCAAATCACAGTGCCAAATCTATAGAAATTTATGATTTACTTGTTCTTTTATTTTGCAGGGGGTTGAAAGGAAGGGAGGTGGTGTACTTTTAAGGAGCATGTTGGAATCCACCCAGGTTGCCTATTACTAAGTAACATGTCTTGCTGAAGAGCCACAGAAAACTATATACTCCCTTGAAGGGCAGCACAGTGTCACTTCAAGTTACCATCAGAGAGATGACCTTCTTCACCCCATCTCAGGTGACTTATTCAACTTCTTAAGAATGAAACTTAAAAGAGCAAGTTGAAGAATAAATGGTATCAAGGCAGAGTGCAGGCCCTCTCTGCCACTGCCTCCTTCATCCTGCCTGCAGGACAGATAGGACAAAAGGAAAGAAGAACTATGGGTAAAGGAGATGTACTCTTAAGAAATAGCAAAGGTCTAAGTCTCTGTGAATATTTATGTGTGCCCTACTTAATTTCCAGGGTAACATACAGGATCTACCACCTGCTTACCAAATACAGCATCAAAACAATGCACGTTTAATAAATATCAATCGCTCCAGTTTTAAACTGAGCTCATTTTTAAAATTAATTTTTATTGGAGTATAGTTGCTTTACAATGTTGTGTTAGTTTCTGCTGTACAGCAAACTGAATCAGTTATACATATACATATATCCATCTGTTTTTAGATTCTATTCCCATATAGGTCATTATAGACTATTGAGTAGAGTTCCCTGTGCTATACAGTAGGTTCTTATTAGTTATCTATTTTATATATAGTAGTGTGTATATGTCAATCCCTATCTCCCAGTTTATCCCTCCCCCCCACCCTTTCCCCCTTGGTAACCATAAGTTTTAAACTAAGCTATTTTTAAAGCAAAGACCAATGACATGAAAATTTAGAATGCTAGAAATGCCAAATCAACTATGACATTAATAAGTACAATTATATTACCTCCTTAGCAGACACATAACAACAGCCCACTGACCACAGGCTGAGATGGTGGGAGCGGACCTCTTCTGCAGGTTAGGATTCCTGAGTGGCCTTCACAGATGCAATTAATGGTGTGTTACGCTAACTTTTTTTAGTAGGAACTTTTTTTTTCAAATTAGAATAGGAACTCTGAATATTTCAAATGCTATTATGCACGAATAGTACAGATACCATCATGTGAAGAATCAAACTAGACAGAAAACTAGCTTTTTAAAGAAATGAGTTATGCTTAGCAAAACAGACTATAAATAGTATGCAACTAAACAGAAAAACCTGACATAGGAATAATAAATAACCCTTTACAGACACACAAAGAAGTAAATACAACACACAGTCCCAGAACACAATGGCGCAAACATTTCTTTTTGTTCCATGTTCATAGCAGCAGCAGATAACTCTTTGAAAACAGAAGCAATATTGAATAAACTCCAGCTGTCTTTTGCACCCAGAAATTCTTTCTATCCTCATATGAAATGACTCTTTCATCATTTTCAAAAGTTCAGGGCATGGCATATTTGATAAACGCATCTTGTCTGATGTGAGTTACCATAGTAACTATTCTTTTTTTTACTTAACAATTATGTTGTGTCAAGTCATCTAGATTATGCATCCATATTCTATCTTTTCTCCTTGGTGTCTCCTTCACACACTCCTTTACATACCAGTTTTTGTAAATTAACATGAAATTTGTTTATCCAAACTCATTCTGAATTCAACCACTAACTGGCTGAAATTTCAAAAAGGTTTCAGAATAATGGATATTGATAAATATAAATATTCAGTTCAGCTGGGAAACACAGAAAAGGTGTAAAGTTCTGGAAAAGATGGTGTTCATGAATGGCTCAAGGAGCCTGCAATTATCTGCCTGCATCATATATGTTATGCATGCACAATTTAAGTTGTGCATCTAAGAAAATATAAAGCATGATCTGAGAACAAAATGAGTTCTTTAATGAAGGCTTTTAATAATCACGTTAAGTCAAAGAAATCTTAACAGAAATTTAAAAGAAATGTTAAATTTTGCTTGCTGAGCAACAGGAACAGCATCAGTACCTCATCTGTAGAACTTCTGACATGCCAGGCACTGTCCTAAATCAAAGGATTTATACTTTATACTTACAAAAAGGATTTACACTTACATAAAGGATTTATGCTTTATATTTACAAAAGCTTATGAAGAACAGACTCCCCTCATATATTTAATAGTCTCTTCATTATGTTATAAATGAACTAAAATGTATTTGTGAAATATCAGTGTCTTTGTAATTGTCCTGGTGAACACTAATTGTTTAGCCAACAGTTTTTGACAAAGATGAATTTTATAATGTTATTCATAGACCATAGAAATTTTAATACTATGCTTTAAAGCTTTCTTTTTTTAAATTTAAAACTTTTCTTAAATTTTGAAAAATGTTCTAAAAAATGCTCACCTGCATTGGAACTCCAGCTGATGAAGGTGGGTAGTGTGCTGGATGATGGATCTTTGAATAGACTGAATATACTGGTGCTTCATTCATCAACTTGTTATATAGTTCCAGAGCTTCCAAGACTTTTACATTCAATTCAGACAATTCTGAATGCTTCCTAACATAGAAGGGAAGCACTTTAATACTCTTCAAAGTTTTTAAGCATTTTAAGCATATTTTTAATTTTTAGCAACATAAATTATTTCTTAAAATTTACCACATTTTCTACTCATATTTTAAAAGGTTCTTTATATATATGAAAGTATATTCAAAAAGGGAAAATGGGAGGAGGAATTATTTAATTCATGTAATGTCTAGGCTGATATGACTTCATAATATTAGGGGAACTCCTTTCCACACCTCATAAAATGCAATCAATTCATAACTTTGGTGCTAGGAGAATGTTGTTTCTTATGTTACAGGTCTCTGTTGGAAATTCAATTACAAAGAAGAGTAATTTCTAAATTTAGGAAGAGTCCAAACCTTAATTAAAAATCTTAGTAGAAGAAAGTCCTCAGGCAAGGCCCACAGGCTGCTATGAAATACAATATGACTGAGATAAAAGCGCATTCACAAACAAAATCACACACATTTTCATTTCCTCATACTCATGAAAGGATTAACTAAAAAAAAAAATAAATAAATAATTATCCTTGAAAATGCAAATGAAAACAATATAATGAACTAGTCTCTACTGCTTGTTTGCTGGTTTCTTCCAAAAAAGTGAGTGAAACCAGGTCCAAATAAGAACATTTTCAAATTTGCATCTTCAAATCTGCCCAAGGAACTCCAATGCAAATCCTTCTGACTTGGTACAGTTTTGCCTGTTACCCTGGGAGTAATAAAGAACTCCCTTTGCAACTAACAAGTTCATAAAAGTTGAACGGCCACTTTATCTGGCCTAAAGCACCCACAAGTCTGTTTATTAAATGTAGCTTTTTAAATATGTACACAGAGAGACTCGAGAGACAAGAGACAATCACAGGCAGCCAGACACAGGGCTCCCAAATACATGACCTGGATTGAGTCCTGTTAGGACTTGTCACCTTTCCTCTATCAGAGACTGTTATGTCTGAAACAAACAAAAAGTGCTGTTTCCTCTCTTGCATGTGTGACTGTATAAAGGAGGTCAAACTCTATTTTCAGAAATACCAGTTATAAATCACACAGGAAGCTTCAGAAATTAGTGTCCATGCTGACAAATTTGTGACTAAGAAGTAACCATAGGCAATTGGTCCACATAACCCAGTATACTGATGAACACCAGGAGAACACAGAACGGCAGGATGACTGAGCACATTTGAGATCACCTTCCAGGATTTGAGACATAATACCAAAGAAACTATAAATTTTTACTAAACTGTGCCCAACACTATCCTGGGACAGAGAAATTAGGCAGAAGGTGTGGTCCTCTCCTTCAGAAAGACTGTAACTTACTAGGGAGACAAGGCTAAGTACCTGAAAAATAGCAAATGATGTAAGATAGCATATATTTGAATGCAAAATTAAATGAAATAGGTAGGGAACAGAAGAGTTTAGAGGAGGGGATTAATTTGACTGAAAAGGCTTTAGGGAGAAGCTGGGACTTAAGTTGGCACCTGAGGAAGGATGGAGAGGCCAAGCAAAAAAAGGAAGACTAAGTCAGGTCAGTGGGACAGTGTGAATTAAGGTAAGTGAAAGGAACGAGAAGGGTACACGAGGGAAGAATGAAGAGGGTAATTTGATTAAGGTGGTAGAAAACGGTTTTCGAAAGGTAGAAGGAAAGAACGTTAGAACAGCCTGGAATATAGCTAAGTTCAAGCTATGGATCTCTCTTCAATAACTCTATATACACTTTTTTGGGGTCAATTTATATTGTTTACACAATATAATTTCCTAGTGTGATAAATGCTACAAAATTATATTCTGTACAATGACAGACAGAAATGAAATGTAAAATTTTAAATTCTGACAGTAAAGTTGTTTTTCTTTTAAGGAAAAACAAACTGACAATGATCCACTCAAGGGAAGAAGCAATATTTTATTCATCTCTGAATGTTTGACAAAGGTAAACAGTCAATAAAAATTTGTTGCAGAACAGCAAGCATTTTCCAGAACAGGAGATGCATCTGCAGTTAGTGGGCATGGAATGGAAAATGCCAGCTGGCCTATTCAGGAACTGAAATTGAAGAGAGAACTGGTTAACAGGTGAGCTTTCACTCAAAAAATTAACTCATATCAGAAAATATCACTCTAATTTTTAATTGTTCTAGACCTTTTTCTCTGAAGATATTCTTTTTTATCAACAAAAATAAAATTATACTGTCATATCTTCGGGTTTTTTTCATTATATAGCATGACATCTTTCCATGTCAATAGATATTTATCAATGGTAATGCTTTTTATTGTAGAATGTATGGATGTAGAATATTTTTTAAACCAATCTCACATTGAAAGACATTTTAGGGCTTCCCTGGTGGCACAGTGGTTAAGAATCCACCTCCAATGCAGGTGATACAGGTTCGAGCCCTGGTCCTGGAAGATCCCACATGCCACGGAGCAACTAAGCCCCTGTGCCACAACTACTGAGCCTGCGCTCTAGAGCCCGTGAGCCACAACTACTGAAGCCCGCGCGCCTAGAGCCCATGCTCTGCAAAAAGAGAAGCCACTGCAATGAGAAGCCTAAGCACTGCAACGAAGAGTAGCCCCAGCTCGCTGCAACTAGAGAAAGCCCGCGCACAGCAACAAAGACCCAATGCAGCCAAAAATAAATAAATAAAAATTAAGGGGGAAAAAAAAAGATATTTTAGTTACTTTCAAGTTTGTTATAAATAACACTGTGAAGAACACTCTAAGAGATAAATCTTTGCATATATCCCTATGTATTTAGTATTGCTGGGTTAAAAGATATAGACTATGTTTAGGCTCCAGAAAGGTTTATAATATTGCACCCCTAACCACACCTAAGATAATACTATCTTTCTTTTTAATCTTTCCCATTTGATTATTCACTGACCATTAACATGCCTTCAACGAAACCAAAGTAACAGATGTATAGGTAGATATTCAATGCTTTCTCCAAAATAAGACCAATAAAATGTGATGAAACTGCTACCATCATTTCATTTACTGCGACAGGGATTTATTTTTCATTTCTGTAGAAAATACAACAAATTTACAAAAAAAAAGTCTCAGGGAACAAAGATTATAATCTTCAATGACTAGAAAAAATCTTGCTGCTACTACTCTTCTCTGGTAAAGGCAGATAAGAAGTAAAGTAGTTCCTGTTCTTGTTGTGCTGTTTTGTACACAAGTTCAGTAAACAGGGAAGATGGTGGAACACTAAAGCCTTCTCCCTTGTCTGCCATTCACTATGGCTGCCCCCTCTGACTTCAGATAGAAAGCTCTGAGGAATAAGAGAAGGAGCAAAACTAAGTTAAAAGCTCAAAACCCTGACAGTCTGTCTTTCAGTGCTACTATTTCTAAGGAAGTGTAAGACTAGATGGGATAATGAAATTAAAAGGACAACAGAGACAGAAATACAAGGAACAAAAATGAGAACAGAAGGTATATACACTGGATTTAGAGTCACAAACACATAGGAAATATCATTTGAAAGTTTTACAAATACTACTTCTCTAAGATCCCTATTCCCATTTTTGTGCTTTATTCTTCACGACTCATTATCTCTCAACTCCAGCCCAGGTAGGAAAAGGAAGACTGGCACTGTAAGAGTTGGAGTCTATCATTCTGCGTGTAATATATTGCCATGAAAAAAACTGCACCAAAATCAAAAGTACCATTCTGCTATTAGTTTGTGAGAGTTTTGGAAACTGAGAAACAATTTCAAAAGATTGGAACAGTTCCACAAAAACTCCCTAGCTTAAAGTTCTGCCAAAAACAAGTAAACTTAGGAAAACTATGTTATTTCCTGCATGAAGAATCTCACCTATCGATCTCTTCAAGTTTTTCATCTATCATTGGACCCATCCGTTGGCAGATATCTGTAAATACAAAAATATTTTAAAATCTTGAAACTAAAAACCAGTTTAAGTCAATTTCAACAATTTTGAACAACAGCGCACCAATATGCAACACCATGCAAAATACAAAGAGAATTAAGTTTATGCTAGAGAAGGGACTATAAAAGACCAAATTTAATACTATTCAGCACCAACAATAATATCCTGTGACCAAGGCAAAGTCAAAATCAGAACAGAAATCCCACCATGTTCTCTGGAAGTACTAAGTTTGCAGACTGAAATTTGGAGTTACCTCAAAAATCTTAAAAATACCTAGAAAACTATTATTAGCTAAAGTAAAAGGAATTTGAGTCACAGTGTATAAAATATGTAATTATGTACAGATTAGATATGAACATTTTTCATTTTTTTAAGCCATTTCAAAATAAAACATTTTATATATCTCCAAATGTAAACATTGATACAATAGCACAATATTCTATATTCATAACCAGGCTTTCTTCCATAAAAAAATTTAATAACACTTATCCATTTATCACAGAGATTTTTCTCCCAATGGATTGTTTCAGATTTCTTAGAGACTAAAAAGACACATCAGCATGCATCAAATAACTGCATTACAAAGTTAACACAGACCATGTATAATTTTGACATTTATGACACAAGAGAATTAAAAGAGGAATAAGAATTTCAAACATTTTGACTCAATTAATATGCTGTTATTTCTAATTCTGTCCTTTTTTGGACTGCAAATTTCACTAGTGGTATTACAGAAAAGCAAAGACTTCTTCACTGGACAGGATCGGCAGTTTTATAGCAACATCTTCTAAGTAATATGTTTACTCATTTACTACACCAGTCTATTTCCCACCAGAGATTTCTAGACTCTGGAAGCAACCCAAGGCAGAAGAAATTTAAGACATTATAAATAGCTAAAACATTAAATGACATTAATCACTAATATTCACTTAGTACCTTCTAAGTCCAAGAGGTCTTGGGAGTCTGGTTTTGAATCTGTTGGATCTATACTCTGTAGTACGTGCAGGGCTCTATCCATCTTATCCTAAAAAAGTAATAGGACACTTTACAAAGAGTTTTAATTTCAATGATAATAAAAATTATTCTTTCCAAGCATTCTCAAGGATAATACATTTTAAGTCTCAACAGTTTAACCATTAAACAAAAGAAGGATCCTACCTCATCTATATAAACAGGCTCAGGCTCTGATTTCTTAATTTCCTCCTCTTCATCATCAATTACATTCAATTTGTCCACAGCTGCTATGGAAACAAAGTAAACTTTAAGTTCCTTAGTATTTACTTTGGTATTTTAGTCATTAATTTATAAATAGCCTGTGATTATCCATAAGAAAATGGAAACCCTTTAAATAATCATCACATTTCATAATCAATAAAAATTATTACGTATGTTCACTCATTCATGCCACAACCATTTATTTAGCCCTTACCACGTGCCAGGCATTGTTCTAGGCATTGGAAATACACCAATGAATAAAGCAGATAAGAATCCCTGCCCTGATGGAACTTACATTCTAGAGGAACAAGTAAGCAATTCATGGGAACTGTCATTACAGGCACTTTCCTGAGAACTGAGTGTTATCACTAGGGTGAATATATATATAT